ATAAATAAAATCCTTAATTTAATGGATACCTATGCTTTAAATTTTTTGAAGAAATGATTTGAAAATAAATAAATTTTAAAGCTTTTTCGAAATAATCAGATTTATAGATTACAAAATCATAAATAAAATAAGTTATTGATAAATTAAAGTTCTGAACTAATATTATTCTAATTTTTTTTATAAACGAAACAAAAACTTTATTTTATAAATTTGATTTTATCTTTAGAAGTGTAAATTGTAAATTAAGATAACTCTTTTTTTCTTCCCCGACTTTTTTACTTTCTAATGATAGTAGAGAATCACGTATCTTTGAATCTATTAGATTTTTTTAATCAATTAATCCAGTTGACAATTTTAATTTTAAAAATCATACAGGCATGAAAAATGGCATTATTTTTTATATATAAGGAATCTGCTAGTCGTCGCAAATAACTCCGTGTGACTATGATCTTTCTTAACTTATGAACCTAACAAAAATGACAATCAAAGTATCCGCCAAAATTATCTTATATAAAAAGGGAAAATGTTAGAAAACATTTTTATAATATTTTTGTTATTGCATGAAATTCGAGTTCCATTCAATGACTTGATCAACACATTTTTATTCGTGAGATTCACATGAAATTTTATATTAAAATAAAAAATATTAAAATAGAGTATTTGACAAAATGTATTACTTGAATTTCTCTTGTATAAAAATCACATTAGATGCAAGCAGTAATTCAATTGTCATGCTTAATGTTAATGGATCGCGTTTATGAGTTTTTGTCGTCGACACTTAGCCTCTAACAAGTGCGAATAAAAGAGTTTGGCAATATATCTTACCAGAAAAAACAACTATTGTAAAATCAAACAAAAAAGTAGATAATACATTAATGATATAAATAAATTTATAAAGTTTATATCATTTTATATAAGGATCGTAATATTTCGGAATAATAATAATGGATAATAATATAAACCGTAAAATAATTGATTGAATACTTTATCCTGCTTTAACTAAGAAATAAAAGAAGAAAAGAAAATAATTTTACATTGAGCTGATGAGAATGTAGTGATTTGGAAAGCGAAAAGGGCCAAAAGCCCAAAAAGAAAAAGAAAACATTTAGGAAAGTATTTTATTTGACATTAAATATACATAAAATTATGTAAAACACATTAAAAATACATTTTTTTTTTTTTGATAACAAAATACATTTTTTTTTAAGTGTTGAGCTGATGGACGCAACGCAACCACGATTATATAAGTTCGTCACAAAATAATTGACATTTTTTGCGATGCACAAACTAATTGATTCAAAACATAAAAGTTGGCCATCGGCCTCACTTTGTGTGGGTCCCGTTCTTAATGTCACACAAGAGAACATTTTCAGTGATATAATTGTATTCAATAGTGGATATAACTTTTATTATAAATTCTATATTTTTAAAATTATATAATAATAATGTTAAAGTTAATTTTTTATGAATCATATCGACACAAATGTTATACTTTTTATCTGGATAAATATTATATAAATACAAGGCCTAAACTAAAAGCCTTTACTACTAAGAAAGCTCATAGTCAACAAAGACACCTCTATAACAGCAAGCTCATGGCAGCCATCAAGCTACACAATATTAATGGCCTTATCTCATCAAGCTCCTCAACATTAAACATGGCAGCTCTATTACTTAGCCTCCAAGACAAAGCAAACCTGATCACTAAGTAACATCTCCCAAGCTGCTCATCACTTTACTATAAATACATACCTATTAACACAAAGGTACATATCTTCTCCTGCATAATAAAACCTGCTTGAACCATAACTGACTTGAGCGTCGGAGTGTCTTGCAGGTATACCCCCATCTCGTTCCATAGAAGACCCATGGGATAAAGCAGTCCAACTGCAAGATGCTCTGACCCAAGACGGTTCCAAGCTGTGCAGAGGTAGATCACATGATCGGCCCAGTTGTAAAAACTTGTTCTGATCATTGGCGCATAAGGATCCTCTAAGCAAAAGGATCCCTCATAAGGATCCTCCAATTAAAAGGATCCCTCATAAGGATCCTCCGAGCAAAAGGATCCCTCATAAGGATCCTCCAATTACAAGGATCCCTTATAAGGATCCTCCAATTAAAAGGATCCCTCATAAGGATCCTCCATTTACAAAGGATCCCTCATAAGGATCCTCCAATCAAAAAGAGTGAACGGAAGGTAACACCTTAATTGGTTAAAACTTCCTCCAAAGTGCGACACTTATCGCTACATATTCAGCAACATTAAGCCCCAAAACATGCACATGCACAAGGTATGCCAACTTTATGAACTATGAATTGTATCAAAATGCAGGATCCAAATATACAGCTCTCAAGCACCATACAAAGTACAGACCATAGTTTCAGATAAAGGAACAAGCGCAATGAATTTTTCAGGTTGATAAACAGACAAATCATTCCGCAGACTTATACATCTCGCTCCTTATGCCTTTGGCATAAGCACCGAGCTGGGGTGCTTCTGATCTGAATAAATATTATACAAATACAAGGTCCAAACTAAAAGCCTTTACTACTAAGAAAACTCATAGTCAATGAAGGCTGCAAAACCTATCTCTCCAAGCTGCACAATATTTATGACAACAAAGACATCTCTATAACAGCAAGCTCATGGCAGCCATCAAGCTGCACAATATTAATGGTCTTATCTCATCAAGCTCCTCAACATTAAACATGACAGCTCTATTACTTAGCTTCCAAGACAAAGGAAACCTGATCACTAAGTAACATCTTCTAAGCTGCTCATCATTTTACTATAAATACATACCTATTAACACAAAGGTACATATCTTCTCCTGCATAATAAAACCTGCTTGAACCATAACTGACTTGAGCGTCGGAGTGTCTTGCAGGTACACCTCCATCTCGTTCCATAGAAGACTCATGGGATAAAGCTGCCCAACTGCAAGATGCTCTGACCCAAGACGGTTCCAGACTGTGTATAGAAATATCACATGATCAACCCAATTATAAAGAACAGATCACTTTTATTAGTGAAATATAAGTACTAGTATATTAGAATTTTTGTTTTTGTTTTTTTTTTCACGTGAGGGCATTAGCCCAAAGCATAAAGAACTATTAAGAAACTAAGCTAGAGGAAAAGCTACTTGAATCCTGGTTGAGGATATTAGATTTTTTCCACACACAAGAAGTAAACAAGAAATTTGATTCTTCGAGATGATGGGGCTGGTGTCTTAGTTTTTAACGTTTTGCATGCACTAATAGCCTGCTTATCAAAAACAAAAAAATGAAAAATGAAAATGAAAATAAAAAAGTCACAGTCTCCCTCCCAATGAAGGCACCCCCCTGAGACTGTAGACGTGGCGCGTCCTCATTCGCATACCAGTTTCTGCATTGACTGTTTATAGTTACGTACGCTCTAAAAAAATTTAACTCTTATGGGGAAATTCAATATTGTTAATATTATTAATTTAATCAATATTCAATAAATGAAAATTATGAGTATTCAGTTCAGTACAAGTGTATTTAGATGATTCAATATTTATTTCTTAAAAAATAATAAAAATATCTTTAAAGATATTTTGTCATCACGCAAGGAAGAGTAATGAATTGCAATTAAATGAATATGATAGGTGGTTGGAAAAAACAAAGATAAAAAAGGGACAGATATTTCAATTTGCAGTTTTAAAAAGACACTTCAAGCACTCGCGTGGGGTGCGAGGAGGCAACATGTTTGAAACAATAGATTTTATTTTATACAATTCAAATCTGAATTCACGGTGCGTAAGCTAAAATTTATCTAAATATAATATATTTAATAAAATAAGAGTTTATATTTTTATTTTTATTGTAGAGATTTTGTTCCTATCATTTTCATTTAAAAGTAAACGGGTCTATTAATATTTTATCTCTTTTTTTATAATAATTTTTATTTACTTTTATATAAGTGTAGTAGAAAATTTTATTTTTATAATAAAAGTAAAAATAATTTCCCGTAGAATAATGAATAAATTGTGTCTCAAAATATTTTTTATTATAAGCTATGATTTAAATAAAAGTAAAAAATCTACATAAAAATTCAAAAAAATATTTTGTTATTTGGTCAAATCAATTTATAAATGATAATAAAACCATGTTACTAGTCCGCGATTGGTGCGCGCGCGTGATATTAGTGCCCAATTCGGCACCCTTGTACCGATTGGATCTACCAATTCCCATTTCCGTGGGTAACCCTTCTTTCCCACTTGTCTTCGTGCTTCTCTCATTCCTCACTTTCTCCTTCATCATTTTTATTTTATTTTTGGGTTTTTTTTTCTTATTTTGGCTGATTTTTTTTTTCAGCATCCAATTATAAATATGTATTTATGTAAATATATAATTATAATCATAAAATTACTTTTATTTTTATTTTTATGTCAACAGATAATTTATGAAGGATGTTAGTAGATAATTTAAAAAAAAAGAGAATTTTTTTTTACAATTATAATTATTTATTTTTCAAAATATATAATTATTATCTATGGGATATGTTATAATTATTACCTTTTTTTTCTTACTACTTGTTACTACTAAATCTAAATTGCTGATTTTCGTCAATCTAACGATTATAATTTATTGGATTACATTTATTAATTAATTATTAATTCTAATAAATTATAACCGTTAGATTGACGGAAATCAACGATTTAAATTTGACAATAACAAGTAATAAGAAAAAAATAATAACTATAACTTCTCCTATTATCACTTGCCAAAAAAATTATTTTATAGTAACATAAAAAAATAGATTTTCCTTTATCTTTTGAATCTTTCCCATAACCAAAGATACTCTCCACGTTAAATTATTGAACCAATATTATTAATAATTCATCGTTCATATCCCTCGCTTATATTATTATTTCCTACCTAATATACATTTATTATTATTATTATTATTTTATTTTAATCCAATCTCCCATCCCTTTTGTCTTTATAAGGTCCACGTTCGTTGCACCTTTTATCTCCTCTCATCGTCTTCTTTCTCCTCCTCCTCTTCAATAGTTGCTCTTTCTCTTCAAAAAAAATCTAAAGAAAATGGGTTCGACTAGATCGTCCCTGGCCATGAATACGATGATCGTTCTCGTGTTCATGGTCTTCGCGACTTCGTTGGCGTTGGACATGTCGATCATCTCGTACGACAAGACCCACGCCGACAAGTCGAACTGGAGGACTGATGAGGAGGTCATGAACATGTACGAGGAGTGGTTGGTGAAACATGGCAAGGTGAACAACGCCCTCGGGGAGAAGGATAAGAGGTTCGAGATCTTCAAGGACAACCTCAGGTTCATCGACGAGCATAACGCTGAGAACCGGACCTACAAGCTGGGGCTGAACCGGTTCGCGGATATGACCAACGAGGAGTATAGGGCAAAGTTCCTGGGAACTAGGATTGACCCGAACCGGAGGATGGGCAAGTTGAGGACCAGGAGCAACCGTTACACTCCACGTGTCGGTGACAAATTGCCGGAATCCGTTGATTGGAGGAAGGAAGGTGCTGTTGTTGGAGTCAAAGACCAAGGAAGTTGCGGTAATCACTCTCACTATGTCTCAATTCCTACTTACTTTACTCTTTTTTTTAAAATAAAAATAAAAGTTATATTCTATTATTCCTTACTTTGTTAAATAATCATCTATCATTTTTTATTTTAAAATTAAACTCCTGCCAATAATTGTGCGTACTGTTTCATTTTCGGTGTTTTTATAGTCTTATCTGCGATTTGTTGTATTGCTGTTGCTTAACGATCCACATGATCTAACACTATCTGGAAAAAATTAATTATGTATGTATGAAAAATGTGTTTTTCTATCTTAGATCTGAAACTTATGAACAAGGTTTTCATTTTGAGACGCCCTTTTGTTTGTCCCTAGAATTACATAATTATTAGTTTCGATTTGACATGAAATTGTCTTGGTCTGGACCTTTTGGATCTATGAATTGAACTTTCACTTTAAAACTGGACTTGACTCCTATTTTTAAGGTGAGGCGTATGTAATTGCTTCATGTGGAACTGTGGAAGTTACCCAAAAAAATTTGATCGCTGTGGGGTTTGATTAATCAATATGTCATAAGCTTTTTCTTTGAATTTGAATATGTTATTTACGTTTCCAATATAATTTTTTTGTCCTGTAATTAAAGTCTTTATTTAAGACCAAATGATGGTAGCTCATTTCTCGCATGAGAGCTGAGTAGTGGGTGAGAGCATTTGTTCGATACATCCCGTACCATCTTTAGGAGGAATTTAAAGTCTTAATCCTGGACCTACCCAAACAGAATTGCCTCATATAGAGGATACTTGTGGTTTATCAAAAAAAAAGAAAAAAGAAAAGTCTTTTATTTAAGTTATGAAAGGTGTTGTTGGAAATTGGATACAGCCAAACAGGTATAAATGGACAGGGCCAACATGATGGCCCATATCTCTTATGCCTAACATCATCAGGATTCTTGGTGTGTGTTCGAATATTGTTAAGAAAGCACCTAGATATTCAAATGATTTGTGCCTACCTGCACTTTAGGCAGATTCTTCTGCACTCAAATGTGCTTAAAATATCAATCGCTAATTATGTAGTTATATGACTTACTTATTTACGTAGGTAATGATTTTTTATTTTTTTTTTGTTGGCTTACAAACTTTGCCTATCTTGTGAGAGTTAATAAACACTTTGTCTGAATTGTTTTAATTCAGGGAGCTGTTGGGCATTCTCAACAGTTGGTGCTGTGGAAGGAATAAATAAGATAGTGACAGGAGAGCTAATTGCTCTATCAGAACAAGAGCTGGTTGATTGTGATACATCATATAACGAAGGGTGCAATGGTGGACTTATGGACTACGCCTTTGAGTTCATCATCAACAATGGTGGCATTGATTCTGAGGAGGATTATCCCTACCTTGGGGTTGATGGTAGATGTGACCAATACCGGGTCAGTCACCTAGTCTTGAATACATGCTGATAATAAGTCCTTGTAAAAGATAGTTATTGTAAAGAACCATTTCAACCCAAAAACTTAAGCTGTTAGTGAGGCTACAATACATTAATGATTTTATATTTTTCTAACATGGCTCACTGGTTTTTGAGAGTGGACAATATACAGGCTCATTGGGCTTGTGATCATTGGTCGCAAAGGCTCTGATATCATATAAAGAACCAAATCAACCTAAAAGCTTAAGTTTCTGGGGGAGATTACATTAATGGTTTTATATTTCTTTAATAGTTACTTTCTCTAATTCTTATATTTGTTATTTTTGGGTTATCTTCCTTTTGTGCAGAAAAATGCTAAAGTTGTTTCAATTGATTCTTATGAAGATGTTTCTCCCTATGACGAGTTAGCTTTGAAAAAGGCTGTTGCTAGTCAGCCAGTGAGCGTTGCTATTGAAGGAGGTGGCAGGGAATTCCAGTTATACGTATCTGTAAGTTTCTAGATCAATTTCACTCGAACTAGGAAAGGTGTACCTATAATACTAGGAGAAATAGAATGTGAAGAGTCAAGGAAAGGCGTGCTTATAATATTAGAATTCGAGTGGGAAGTGTCAAAATTGGATTTGTATTGAAAGCATATATATTTGACAGAAACCAAGATACCATATATTGATTTTGGATGAAAATCATGTATGTGGCAAGTGGTTTGGCTCTTGGTTATCCTCCAAGTTACTTTCTATTGCCCATATTCTTTTTGTGTACTTTCTTTACCAAGATTAGGACTAGCCGTTGCATTGCTGAACTTTATTACTTAGTGTATTCTATCTATCTTTTGTCAGGGCTTATTTACGGGAAAATGTGGGACAGCATTAGACCATGGTGTTGTGGCTGTTGGGTATGGTACAGAACACGGTCATGATTATTGGATTGTGAGGAATTCATGGGGTGCTACCTGGGGAGAGGATGGCTATATCAAAATGGAACGTAATCTGGCCTCAAGCAGATCAGGCAAGTGTGGAATTGCAATTGAGCCATCCTATCCAGTTAAGGAGGGCCAAAATCCCCCGAACCCTGGACCATCACCCCCTTCACCTGTGACGCCACCATCTGTCTGTGACAATTACTACAGCTGTGCCGAGAGCACTACTTGTTGCTGTATCTTTGAGTATGGAAACGCTTGCTTTGAGTGGGGATGCTGTCCTCTTGAGGGTGCTACCTGCTGTGAAGACCACTACAGTTGCTGCCCTCATGACTATCCCATATGTAACGTTTATGCAGGAACCTGCCTGAGGGTATGAATGATTAACTGTCTAACTCCACCAAATCTTTTATTTGCTTTCATTTCATACTGGATTTTCACTTGGAACTAACAATTTGCTGTTATATGATTTTTTTTTTTGGTTAATGATGACTTCCCTTTGCATTCTAAGTTCTCACTCAATATTTTCATGTATTTATGAATTTTCTATCTCAGAGCAAGAACAACCCATTTGGAGTGAAGGCATTGAAGCGAACTCCAGCTAAACCTCACTGGGCTTTTGGAGGTAAGAACAAGATAAACAGTGCTTAAGTAATTAAGCCAATGTGTACGTGCTGAAGGAGCCGATGGGGAAATCAAGGATTAAGACGAAGGACTGAAACACTAGCTGATACTCTTTTCTTTTGCTTCATCATACAGCACGTAACATATAGATCTTCGCCATTATGATACAAACAGATACATTCTCTGTCAAATTTCAGTCAGACATAGACTCTGTAAATAGCGTTATATTTATGTTCTGTATTTTTATTCGGATTCCAAATGGCGAACATGTTTAATTATTGTAAGTTTCCAACTTCTGTACATTATGTGATCATGTAGCAATGCATGGATTTATCCCTTGTTCTCATGCTGCTTTATGTGCTTATTAGTATACGCTGGACATTCCCCCGCAGCGTGCTTTGTTGCTTTCTGTGTTCAGTCTAATTGTGTTACAAAAATAAGTGACAATAAAGATCCATTTTAAAATAGGGAAAAGTTCATAACACCCTTTTTTGGTTTACTCTTTTATCATTTAATATTTTTATGTTTTTTTTTTCTAAACAATTATTTTCCTATAATTTTTTTTCATCACAGCCCACCTTTAACAACGGGAGTAATTTAAATAACTTGCCCATTTTATCCTTTTATCTATGGGATGGAGGATCAAGGATGGCACAAGGGAATAATTGCCCGTCTCAACAACTATATTGAGTGGCGGTTATGCCATGGAACAATGTTAATAAAATCGAACCAGTCCAAACCCAGTAAATCAATCCGGGTGAAGTAACAAATCGGTCATATATCAAAATTGATGTGACTTAGCTGGTTTTCATAAAAATCAGTGACCTAGTTGGTTAATTGGTGACAGATCCTGTTCCAAAAAAAAATTCCAAATCTATTAAAAAATAAATCATAATGGACATATTTAAGTATTTTTTATTTATTGACTTACATAAGTTATGTATTTACAACACTAATATTATTTCAATTATGTAATATGTAGGAAATTTTGATTTGATTTATAGTTAGAAATATCATTTACTGAACTTGAAGCCCTACCGAATGATTCCTTGGAGATTTCCTAATATTTTGATTCAAATTCGACAAAGTATCACCATTCTGATCGTCCATGACAATGTTATTAAAACTGGCTCGGTCATTGACCCGGTCAAGGTACTAAATCATTGGGTTACTGTTTCAACCAGTGAATCACAATGTTATTAAAATTGGCTCGGTCATTGACCCGCTCACCATTCTGATTGTTGGACTTTTCCTTTTTCACCTTCCCTTCGAGCTGTTCTACCAACCCTGCGGATATATTCCTGTTAGCAGTATAAAACATATGTTATACCATACATCGACATATAAGGCTGCTAAGAAAAAAAAGGATATTGATTGATTAATAGAAAAATGAGACCCTTTCTTTCTCTCTTTCCATATCGTAATCCTTATCACAGTCAACATTATGAGGATAACACATCACAAATGCTCAATCTTGGTGCCACCATGACACCAGAATTCCCCAACCTTGTGGTTGGGATGTTTGGAGAGATGTTTTGTACAAGGGTCTTTGGCAACTCAGAAAATTTATACGCCTAGTCCAATTCTTATCACCTGATGGGAAGTAATAGCCCTATGTTGAGAAGGCAAAAAATGCAGGCAGGCAAATCATTGAACAGAATTTCAATTTTTCAACTTCGGAATGGAATAAATTAAGGGTAAAAAAAAAGTTAGCTCAATTACTAACGGTGTTAATGATGGATTTTAATGGAAAAAATCACACGAGAATAATTTATAAGAAAAAAACATAAGATGTAAGTGATAAAAGAGTAAACCACATGAGGAGTTTATGAACTTTTTCCTTTAAAATAAATATAATGTATGAATTATTTTTTATGTAACTTGTTCTTCTTTTTTTGGAAATATTCCAATCGGTTCATTGTTTCGCAACTAATCCGATTCGGGGAGGGTTCAAGATTAAGGCTTTAAACCTCTCCCAAAGGTGGTACTGGGGAGATTCGAACACATGCTCTCACCTCCACATGCTTAGCTCCCATGCGCCAACTGAGCTACCACCATTTGGTTTTATGTAACTTGTTCTAGCCAACACAATCAGCTAGTTCAGAATTGTTGGCCCAATACCAAAGGCCCATATAACCTTTGCTACACTACCTTGCCACATCAGCCCTGTCATGACAGCGCTGACATTTCAGTGCTACCTATCAGACATCCCAATGTAAGATACCAAAATATTTTACGTTGATATTATTCCCTCTCCTTTGTCTGTACAGGCACTAAAATGTCCTACTTGGAATACTCCCCTTTCACCTTTCTCTGCACAACAACCGTTGTCAGCATTGCAGCGGCTGCAAAGTGCCTTGCCCCTACAAGGCTAGCTGCTATGGCTCCTCCTCATAATTATTGACTTGACTCACTCTCCTACATGGATGGAGCCTAACCCTAACTATAAATACCCCCTCCTTCTTCACAAGGCAAACACATTATTCATTATTTGCATGAGTTGTTACTCTCTCAACTCTGAGCGCTTATGTTGTGCCGACATCGGTACAGGACACGACACTCCGATACGTTAATTTTAAAAAATATTAGATTTTGACACGTTAGGACACGTTTTGATATTAAATAATATTTTTTAATTTATGTGTATATTATATTTAATACTCAATAATTTAACCAAAAAATGAAACTAAAGGTCTAAACTTATAATACCAATTAATTTTGCAACGAAACATAAGATGTAAATATTTACTATTATATTTTCAAATTGAAAATCTCTTATGCACTCTAGTGAGATTTATTTGGTATCCATTTTTTATTTTTAGTATATCAATTTGATAAAATATTGATTACTTTTTTCATGATATATAATAAAATTTCAAATATTATAGATGTTGGAGTATGTCAGAGTGTCGGACACGACACCTCGTATTTTTTTAAGGGTCAGCGCTACATAGTTAAGAGCTATAGTAGCCCTATAACACCATCCCCTCTTTTTACGCACAACACTTGGGAAGTCATTGTGTAGTCTTGGTCTATACCATTGCTGCCTAGACACCCTTATAGCGACATATTTTATCCCTTGAGAGTACATAATTGGTTCTCATACATATCTAACAGTTCAAAATTAAACTATGTAAGAAGAAAAGAGAAAAAGAGAAAATATGGATCTACACACTTTTATATGTGTGTAGAAGACAAATTTATCTTTTATAAGAGAAACAATAAACCCAAAAAATGGATAAAGAAAAAAAAAGAATGAAAAATTAACAGAAATAATTAATAAATTTTCTTATTTTACTTACCTAATTAATAACTTTTTTTATTAGTAACCTAATTCTAAGTGGCCTCCACTCATAATATTTTATTTCCTCTCTACTTATTTAAATCATGAAAATTCCAACTTTTTATTATTTTGTCTCCATTTAACTTCCCATTCATTTTCGCCAAACCGAATGTAACATGATTTAGTTCGTATAAAGTAAGAGAATTACTAGTGGGGGAGGAGGCTGAACCTTTAGCCATCACTGTTTTCCCGCACTCCGGATTAGTCTCATAGCCGGCTCAAAGAGTCGAAGCTCATGGGGATACCGGAGGGAGCCAGCTCGTCCCAAAGAGATAATTAGGGTTGGATAACTCCAAAAAAAAAAAGAATTACTAGTGTAAAACCGAAGTAATTTAGCTAACTTATGCGAAAAAAATAAATTAATTTTAAGGTAGAATTATAACTTGATTATGTGTTTTTTTAAGTTAAAATTACTTTTTAAATTAAAAACTCACTTTTTAAATCAAAAACATGTTTAAAATTTTAAAATAAATAGTTTTTTTAAATTAAAATTAAAAAAATATTTTTAGTACTTATCAAGTTATCATAAATAACAAAATATTTTATGAAAAATATATATATACCTTAAAAACTTTTTAATAAAAACCTTATCCACATACACATTTCACAATTTAAAAGAATTCCTTCAAAATTTATTTTAAAAAATGATATTCGATAGTTTTAAAAATTTACAATAAATCTAAAATTTTAAAACTAATTCATATGAATTTAGTAGTAGTTCACTAGTTCTTTTATAATTAAGCATTTTACAATCTAGCATAATGAAAGTTAGTCATAAAAAATAAAGTTAAATCTCCTTGTCATTTTCATTATCTAAACACAACTCTTTCTTCATAGCATGTGCATGGTCGAATTGAATTGGTTTAAACTGTTCCGTTCAAAAATAGTTCTGTTCGATTTAAAATCAGTTGGGTTCCGTTCGAAAGTGGTTCAATTCAGTTGAAAATGGTTTGGGTCGACCCTATTCTGAAAAAAAAAAAATTAAAAATAAAGTAATAAAAATAAATTTAGTTCGGTTCGAAAATAGTTTTCGATTCAGAAACAGTTCTTCAAAAATGGTATGATTCTTGAACTGGTTCTAAAAATTGGTTCAGTTCATAAACTAATTTTTAAAAATTAATTATTTTAAGTACAGCTCAGTTTAGTTTATGATTCAATTTAATTTTTTGATTATTTTACTCATCGTGAAAACCGCTCTCCCCTTTCTTTCCTCAGTAAAACAGGGACCCCTCCGGTCCTCACCCTTTGGTTCTTCCAAAGTTTTCTTATCCTTTTTCCCCTACATCCTAACCAAAATATCTCTTCCTTTTGTTTCAGAGTTGGTTGTCATTTAAAAATTGGCAAGGCCTTTAATAGTAGCAATAATAAAGCAAACATCCATTTTGATTTCTCAAAAGTTAATATTACTTAAATTTCAAAAGATAGGTGATAAATTTAATCCTTCAGAAATAAAAAAATAATATCAAAATTATCTTTTTGGTATAAATCACAGGATTAAAAGACTAAATTTATATCATTTTCTATCATTAGAAAACTAAATTAGATTCAAAAAAATTTCATTAAATGACTAAATTAATTATGAAATTCCTCAACTCAGACTCCAAAATATTACAATAAGGAGAAGCTTCCCTTCCACGTCAATCGCACAACTTAGAGGAATTCAATTCGGCAAATCATGGTTGCGGCCTTATTGACAAAATTTACAGAACCCTTTTATAGCAAAGCGTAATGATAGCTTATTTATCCCTGGTCACGTGGGGTTATTTAAGAGTTTAACCAAGGTTCTACTTATATATCTGATGGACAATTATGCTTAATGAAATGATAAAGCGACTCCAATATCAATTTTTTTTTTTTTTTGGGTAATCGACTCCAATATCATTTTATTAAGCATATTAATAGGCTTAATAGTTTTTTTTTTTTTTTTTTTTGTGTGCAGAAAATCAATGTAGTGTTGGTTGGGGACCAGGGGCAAATGCTAATTGTCGCCTAGAACAGCTTGATGATGCAGACTTCAATTATCACTCCTTTCATTTCGTTTTCAAGACCAGCCCACAACATGTAACACCACACTTCTGAGGGATAGGCCTGACTCCATATCCAACCCCACTTGCAGTGCTAAAAAAAATATCGTTTCCCATGAACAACTTTACCACTATTTCAAACATATCTTATTTAATGCAACCATGGTAAATTGATCATTATTACATGAGACCATGATAATGACTACAAAAGTTGGGATTAACAAGCACCTATTAAGAGGGGATCTTTGACCAAAGGATTTTTTTTCACCTCTTTCATTTTTCTATCTGGTATTTGATTCTCAATATTTATCAACGAGGATCGTTTAGTATTCTGGGGGCCCCGTGGCTCAGAGTGATGCAACCCTCCTGGGGCACTCATTTTTTTTTCTTAGGTGAGTGTCGCGACCCCCCGGAACACTCACATGGTTGTGCCAAGTGGCACAATCCCATTACTCTAAGCAGTCCTGTTACCGTAAAACTTCGGAAGACCATAACTTTTGACTTGGGAATCCAAATCAGATGATTTTTTTTTATTCACATAACTTTTTGAGATCTACCCAATAACACTTCATTTTGCATGAATTTGTAACAATGGTATCACAATACAAGAAAAAGACTATGAAGAAAAAGTGGGAACAAAAATGAAGAATCCACTGAGCTGGAATAGACGATAACATGCTGGACAACTTTAAACTATTGTCTTGTACAGGTGTAGCTGCAACTCTAACATACATAAGTTCAATTAATTAAAATCTCAATAAAATTGATTTGAGAATCGAGGAAGCTAAACAAATCAATGGTTTCTTCCTCTTTCCGTCAAAATTTGGCAAACATCATAAGTTATTATCCTAACATGGAGATATACGATAGCTTCAGAGGCATCAAGTACAGCCAGTATGTTATCGTCTATCCCTGCTATGTTCCTTCTTTTTCTATTGCTAGAGTTTTCTATTTTTGCTCCCACTTTTTCTTCACATAAACAAATTTTGAAATTAACTATTGTCTCGCACATGTGCTGCTGTAACTCTAACAGACATAAATTCAATTAATTAAAATATCAATAAAACTGTTTGTAAATATATATATATATTTTAGATTTCAAATACAAGTCTAAAATATGTTTGTGATTGTGGTACCATTATTATAAATTTGAACTATGTTTGAGAGAGATAAAATATGTCAAATGAGATGTCATTGCGTAGATCTCAAAAAGTTATGTGAAATAAAAAAAAATCTGATTTGGATTCCTGAATAAAAAATTATGGCCTTTCGAAGTTTTACAGTAATGAAACTGCCTAAGATAACGAAATTGTACTACTTGACACAATCATGTAAGTGCTCCGGAAGAGTCGCGACACTTATTGCCACTTGAACTCTCACTAAAAGACCACACGATAAATATCGAGAATTAAATATCAAATAAAAAAATTAAAGGGGTGAAACCCCTATTTGGTCAAAGAGCTCCTATTAAGGTTATGAATCTGAATTGGAAATTATTATTTTTCTTCTTTTAATTTTCACTTGTTGCCCTGCCATTCATTATCTTTTTGCAATAATTTAGAGGCAGAAATATCATCCACAGTCCACACACCATAATTTGGTCGCAAGATGTTGAGGCAACGTCAACAACGTCTTTTCACACAATAGAAAAAGGGAAAAATATGTTTCATTTTAAATGACGCATGTTATATCCTTTCACTATTGTAAAGAAGTAAGATTCACACATTAAAATTTTTTTCCACCCATTATCTCTTTTTCTCATTTAAAATAATACAATTTTATATCTTTCAAAATGATACACTTTTTTTTATAAAAAAATAGCAAAACTTAGTGCACAAATGAAGTTGCAGCAGAATGAGCAGATAATATCCGCATAGCAGCATTAATGCACAAAAGAGAAATAGTACATAGCTATGATTGGTTCAGTCTTGGCCACCCATAAACATGCCACCTATACTTGTGTGGTGGCCTAGTATTGGTACAGAAGATAACCCATCTCTGAGCCATAAATACATTAATTAAGAGTGCTCAATGCTTACGGTCATTTTTCTCTGAGTTCCTTAGAGACCCAAGTCAAGATTTGAATGAAGATTGAACACTACATTATTTGTTTAGGACCACCTTGCTTTTCCTTTCTGATCTCCATCATCAGCAATATGAAATCCACACTCCTCAAGCTTCACTCTCTGACCTGTGCTGTTGATCCTATTGGTTTCTTGAACTTGAGTGGGATTATTGGATGGAGTTACAGAGGGGAGCTTTGATAGCAAAGCTCCAAGACTACAAGACATGTTGGGCAAAGAAGAAGAAGCTGACCAAAGAGGTGACCCTGATGTTCCATTCTGTGGAGGATTCCTACCCAAGTTTATGGCTATCATGGAAAAAAAACTGGATCTTTCTTCATTCATGTTGTAGGCAGAGAGAGCCATTTCCTTGCTTTCCATCGTGTGAAAATTGGGTAGGTGTGGTCTTTGAATGGATAACACGCCTGGTATGGTCTGTAGGTTGCTGAATTTCCTTTGTATGCTGAGTACTAAATTGAGATCTTCTGCAATCTGAAGGACCCTGAATTTAATAATGAATCGAGATTTTGCACCAAATGTGAAATATTTGGATTGGGAAAAAGAGCAAAACCTTGTTAAATGAACCCAGTTGTACTAAGCCTTCTCTGACAGCAATGACAGCAATAGTCTACCAAAATGAATAATAAATTTCATAGCATTAGCCAAATCAACAGGTACTAATATTTACACATTATGTTTCAGAAGCTTTCTTTTTTTTTGTGAATGAATTTACTAACCTGAATACCTGAATTGAACTGAAACTCCCACGCCCTTGGCTGCTGTCAAGATTAAAGGTACAATGATTAATCATAATAGTAAAAATAATAAATAATAAATCAAGCGTTTTAGATTTGACAGAGGGATTGATGTGAGGAAATTTTTGCACTCATTTATTTCAAACAGCTACTTTCCTTACTTGATCGATTGAAGGATTCCACGAAGCAATGTAGCTTGGTTCACATACATTATGAGTGTCACTGTAAATCCATTTGTGACTATGATCTGCGGCCACTTTCCCTAGTAATCTGCAGAATATATATATCAAATAAGAATGTTTTTGTCCCTTTTCCTTCACATGAATTTTCTAATGTTACACTCTTCAAAACACTTTCTTTTCTTAAATATAAAAAAAAAAGGTTGAGCAATGTCAATCTCACCCTTCTCCATAATTGTAAACCTCATGAGACATTTTGAAGAATACTTCAGCTCCAAACCTATCGTTCAAGTATCCACTCCTCCCTTGTTCACATTCATTAAAATCACAGAACCCATCTTCCCAGACAAGGATCCTAACAAAGAAAACCTCCTTTTATTAAATTGTCCATGATGTTGGTCACAAAAACTTATAACTAAAATGAGACAAGTTTATCACAGTTCCATCAAACTTACCAGTTTCTTTTATTTCCTTTGGAGCGATCAAGAGCAGTCCCTCCAAATTCCCACCTGCAACAAAGCAAATTTGCGGTTACAAACATAAACATAAACATAAAGACAAATGGTTACTTTTGTGTTTCACATTCTATGTTGTTTACTACTTACCTTGGTGGAGGAAAGTTTCGTGGTACTATCCTCCAGAAGACAGCGTAAACCCACTTAGAAGGACCTGAGGAATTGGGAAATGAGCATATGGTTCTCAGAGTACGCTGCAAGAGAAACTGAAATAAGGGTAACCCACTTTCCATTGTTCAAAGAGTGAGGAGAGTGTAGGGAGAAGACAGATTAAAAAGGCAAAATGGAAACAAGGTTAATGGTACCCACTTTGCACCAACAGAGTCATGCTCCAATATTGAGGAGTTGTTGCAGTAATATTAGTAGTGGGACCTGGACAGTCACATTTCCCTTTCCTCTTGGTAACTGGCAATACACTAGTCGTTTGGTACTCGATATTTTTCAAGATTTTTGAGAAATTAAATTTTGTTAAATTTTTAATTTTTGAATACTATCGTAAATTGAATATTTTCATCATATTTCTGAAAATCGAGATTGTCAGATAAAAAAAATTTTACTCTACTAAACGCCTGTTTGACATTTCCATTCACTAGCATAGCAACTTTGTCACTTTTCTCTCACTGCATCCTTTCCCAATATAGATATGAGGAATTCTTAATTATACAGAATCTATTAAAAAATCATTTTTTTTCCTCCTCTAGTTATCTTTTTCTCATAATACGGCAGTTAAAGCTAATTTCTTGTATATTGGATTACTGTAATCAGATGAAGAGTGAAATTAATGCTCCTTCGAGGACGAGACAATTTCCTCTAACCCTAAAATTTTTTAAAAATTTGCTTTGTCTAAGATTTGAATATCTGACCAAAGCAAACTTTGGGCATTTAATTGCCAAGTGACCTATACTTAGCGTTATCAAATCATCTTTTAGGTTGTTAAATGATTGGTGCACACATCTATAAAAAAATTTATGATCATATAAATGTTAAGCAATGATTTAAATGTATATGATAAACTATCTTTAATAAAAATTAAAAAATTTAGGATACCAAAAAATTAAAATTAAAAAATTTACTCATTCCTTCTTATACTCTCTATGAAGCACCGACACTTCAAAAATCCTGACGTGTCGTGTCCGACACTTCCCGATACTCTCCGACACTCCCCGACACTTCAACACGCGTTATAGAAATTCAAAAAAAGCTCAAAGGTTTCATTGTGTTGAGTTTTTAATTTCAACTATTAAATTCGTTGGGTTACGATTACTATTTTATTGAGTTTAATATAAATATTTGGAATATTTTATGTTTCTTTGCAAAATTGATAAATATTATAAGTTTTGTTTCATTTTTTTTGTTAATTTATTGGATATTCAATATAATATATTACATAAATTAAAAATATTATTTAATATCAAAATGTATCTTAACATCGAAATTTAATATTTTTTAGAATTAACATGTCGGATTATCGTATCGTATCACGTGTTCCATGTCAATATCATCACTCATCACTCATCACTCATCACTCATCAACAGAAGTAGATATGCGTACTGCAAAAATTAACATGATCATGATGAAAAGATGAAGATGGCACAGGGTTTTTAATGTTTGGTCAACATTCAACTAGCAGGACCAGCCGAAATAAACTGGGAGTAGGTGATTCACATTTCACCCTATAGGTTGGGCAAGCAAGTGGACTCACAGCTACTTCCTCATCCCATTGTTTCATTGTCTAAATTTTAATAGATTCAACAAACCAATCACAACTCACGTTTGGTGTAATAATTATTTCAAAGCTGGTTATTTAATTATATGTTGTTTGTTATCAATGACATGGTTGCTGAAATCATCTGTTGCTTTTTGTTTTTTGCCTCTAATTAAAAATTGATAATTTAATAAAACAAAGTTATTTCTTTTAAATGTTAATATTTTCTTTCTCAGTTGTTTATTTTTTTATAGAAGTATTATTTTTTAATAATAAGGACAAAAAAAAGAGATGGAATAAAATGACAGGTCGATTTAATTACCCCGAGTAAAGGGTTATACATATGATTTTACTTGAAATTAAAAATCTCGGATCTGTTTGATTGTGTTTTTTTCTTCTTAAAATTGTTTTATAGAATAGTTAATGAAATAATTATTTTCTGTATTATTTTTGTTTTAAAAGTTAAAACTCAAAATACAAAATAAATATAATACAAATATGTTTTCTAAATTTGATTCTAAAAATTAAAAAATAATTATAATTTTTAGAACCACTTTTACATAATAAGTCTTATCAAACAAGTTTTTTTATTTTTTTATTCTAAAAATCAAAATATTATTTTTAAAAAATAAAATTCAAACAGACCCCTTATCTCCTTCGAATCCTAGCCTAGAAACATAAGAAGGGAGCATATGCCATATTTGATATTCCTTTTCTAATCCTCTTTCTAGCTAGTCACATCCTACTTAGGAAAGAGACAGGAATATTTTAAGAAAAGAAATTTAAATTAAAAAACCACTTCTAACTTTTAAAAGGGGTTTGATTTTCTCATGTTGCATGAGAATTGAATTATTATGTTGTGATTCAACTAATGATGGGCCCCATATTTATTAAAAAAGAAAAAGAAAAGAAAAGTTTTGCACGTAAATCGAAGAGTCACAACATGAGAATTAAATTCTCATGCAACATGAGAAAATATTTTCTCCTTTTTAAAATATATATTTAATTAAGCTTAAAACAAAAAGTAAAACATAAAAAATAAATGTAATGTTTTTTAAATAAAAAAGTGGAACTTATATAAAAAAATGTTTGATTATATTTTTTTGAAAAATTTATCAAAACATACTCATAATAGCATAATCCAAAAAAATAACTTATCATACTAATTATAAAGAACCAATTCAACCCAAAAGCTTAAACTATTGGGTGAGGCTACATCAAGTTAGTACTAGAGCTGGTGTTCTAGGAAATCTCGCTTTCGCAGAAAAATCTTGTCGTTCGTCATTCCGGCAAGACATCTGTGTCATGTATCATACCGGTAACCCATTTTTAGTACCTAACCCTCAGTTGGTCACCAACAGCCTATCCTTAACCTCAGATCGTTAGAAAAACCAACGTCAACCACCGTTCATCACCGGGAACCACCGTCCACCACTGCTCACCACCATTGGAGCACTTTTCTAGCTAGTTTTTCGGCAAACAGCTACGCGACCAGGATTGGCTCGAGGAAGCGTCCTCATCTTTCCAAGCCGCGCCGTCACCAGAGTAGCCACGCGCCGGTAGAGGATTCTAGCGACAACACCACTTTTTCGGCACATGAGTCGTCGTCCGGCCGCCGTTCCGAGCTGGACCACCACCATCTTTCTTGCTTTCTTATCCTCTTTCTAGATCTAATCTCCGTTCATTATGGGTACCATCTATAAGAACTGCACCGTTAATTAAGGTATTTAATTAATTAATTATGTGAAAATAGGAAATGATTCCATAATTAACCCTAATAATTATTAAGAGGCTTTAATAATTATGATAAGTGATTAAGAATGCTGAAAGTCACTTTTCGGAAGAAAAGTGCAGATACCGGTTCTGCTAGTCGGTATAAATGCATACCGAAAAAGTATCCCAGAAAATTAAAGTAAGTACATGATAATTACTAGAATAACATGTAGGACTTGTAAAACGAGTTTCAAGTCCAAATAATGAGAACTGGTGCTAGAAACCGGTACTGGCTTTGAAAAGCGCGTACCAGAAAGTTGCTCAGAAAATCATAAGAAAAATATGATAAATCTTAGAAAATTATGTAGTTTCAGAATCCAAAGTTTGGGATTAAAATGCTAAGCGTAGAAATTAAAGTTAATACAGTGAGTTTAAGTGGGTTATGGCTATAAATACACTCATTAAGTGGGCACAAAACCCTAGAACCTCATTCCTACGTGAACACCTTTGGGGGCTGATCACTTTACACTATTCCATTGCTGACTTGGTGCTTCTTTGGCTTGTCTTCACCATTTCTTCATGAGAAACCACCAAATGATCATCTTTTCTCTTGATTCTTCCTTGTAAACACCTTGTGGTTGTGTTGGGGTTGTGTGAGAGGCTTGGTTTCTGAGTTGGTGGGTTGTTTTGGGGTGCTTTTGGTGCTGACTTTGGAGGTTGGAGTTGTTGAGCCATTGTAATGGCATTTTGAGCTCCAAGGAGCTTCCTTTGTGAAGAAAGGGCCAAGCTTTGTTGGCATTTTCGTTTTGTGTTCAAGTCAGAATCTTTGAACCTTGTTGGAGAGCTCCAAGAGCCTTCCTTGTGGCTGAGTTTGAACCTCCATTGGTATACCTTGAACTTTCCTTTGAATTTTCATGAAAATGGCTGGTTTATATTATAAAATGAGTTAACTTTAATCATTCAAGCTTAAGGTTGTTAATCTAAGTCTAAAATGTGGTATTGAACTTCTGTTTTGGGTCAAGACCGGACCTTGGGTCATGGGGTGGCAATTTGGCTTCGGATTATGCAGAAAAAAAATCTGCATAATGCTGTTCTGCCCGCGTGGTAATCGATTACTTTTGATTGGTAATCGGTTACCATGTGTGGTAATCGATTACCTTGCTGGTGGTAATCGATTACCATGTGCAGTAATCGATTACCAGCCCTTGGTAATCGATTACCACCTGTGAAAATGACCAGAAACCAGTTTTGTGCAATTGTGTCCGCAACGACCTAGTTTAGTAAAATTGAGATATCTCGAGTTACAGAGCTCTAAATTGAGTGATGTTTGGACCTATGTGAAGCTAACACATAGGGCTACAACTCTGTAAAATTTTGTAGCCATTGGATCAGTGGTTTGATCGCAGTGTCTATTTTAAGTCGCGTTTTGGTTGCTGGAAATTCCGTTTGCAGCAGTCACCTTGCGTAAATCATAACCGGAGTTATACAACTCCGATTGAGACATAAAGTATATTGTTGGAAATATCAAGATGTCTAGTTAAACATTGTAAATATTAGAATGTGAATATTGATATAATTGTTGGTCTAAAACAGATTGTGATTCTGCTCTGTTTGGACTTTGAGCTTGTGTGGACTCTTGGCTTGGATAGCTAGCTTAGATGTAAGCTTTCGTGTCCTCGGTTTAGCCATGTTGTGGTTCCACCATGTTCCATGGGGATATGGTATATGCATGTTGTGTTACATGCTTTTGATGTTTTGGAAATGCTGTTGAGCTATTGTATGTTAGTGCCTTGTTGATATGCATGGAGGTGTTC